AGGCATTTTTGCGGTGCAATTTCGGAACCTTTCCGTCCTTCACTGCCATGGGGATTTGCCGCTGGGAGTGGTTCGCTTTTAGGCGTCGCAGCTAGACACCAGCAGCAGCAACAGGAGCGTCTCCAGGAGCAGGAGAAAAAAGTAGCTAAAATCATCATTTTCTATGGGTTCCAGAAGTTACGTTAGGCATTTTTGCGGTGCAATTTCGAAGCTTTTCCGTCCTTCACTGCCATGGGGATTTGCCGCTGGGAGTGGTTCGCTTTTAGGCGTCGCAGCTAGCAGCAGCCAGCAGCACAGCAGCAGCAGCAGTAGCAGCAGCAGTCGTTCAGCAGCAGGAGAAAAAAGTAGCTAAAATCATCATTTTCTATGGGTTTCAGAAGTTACGTTAGACATTTTTGCGGTGCAATTTCGGAACCTTTCCATCCTTCACTGCCATGGGGGATTTGCCGCTGGGAGTGGTTCGCTTTTAGGCGTCGCAGCTAGACACCAGCGGCAGCAGCAGTAGCGTCTCCAGGAGCAGGAGAAAAAAGTAGCTAAAATCATCATTTTCTATGGGTTCCAGAAGTTACGTTAGGCATTTTTGCAGTGCACTTTCGAAGCTTTTCCGTCCTTCACTGCCATGGGGATTTGCCGCTGGGAGTGGTTCGCTTTTAGGCGTCGCAGCTAGCCACCAGCAGCAGCAGCAGCAGCAGGAGCGTCTTCAGCAGCAGGAGAAAAAAGTAGCTAAAATCATCATTTTCTATGGGTTTCAGAAGTTACGTTAGGCATGTTTGCGGTGCAATTTCGAAACTTTTCCGTCCTTTACTGCCATGGGGATTTGCCGCTGGGAGTGGTTCGCTTTTAGGCGTTGCAGCTAGCCACCAGCAGCAGCAGCAGCAGCAGTAGGAGCGTCTTCAGCAGCAGGAGAAAAAAGTAGCTAAAATCATCATTTTCTAATTTTCTATGGGTTTCAGAAGTTACGTTAGACATTTTTGCGGTGCCATTTCGAAGCTTTTCCGTCCTTCACTGCCATGGGGATTTGCCGCTGGGAGTGGTTCGCTTTTAGGCGTCGCAGCTAGCCACCAGCAGCAGCAGCAGCAGCAACAGCAGCAGCAGCAGCAGCAGCAGTAGGAGCGTCTTCAGCAGCAGGAGAAAAAGTAGCTAAAATCATCATTTTCTATGGGTTTCAGAAGTTACGTTAGACCTTTTTGCGGTGCAATTTCGGAACCTTTCCGTCCTTCACTGCCATGCGGATTTGCCGCTGGGAGTGGTTCGCTTTTAGGCGTCGCAGCTAGACACCAGCAGCAGCACCTGCAGCAGCAGCAGTAGGGATCCGTCCTTCACTGCCATGGGGATTTGCCGCTGGGAGTGGTTCGCTTTTAGGCGTCGCAGCTAGCCACCAGCAGCAGCAGCAGCAGGAGTGTCTTCAGCAGCAGGAGAAAAAAGTAGCTAAAATCATCGTTTTCTATGGGTTTCAGAAGTTACGTTAGGCATTTTTGCGGTGCAATTTCGAAGCTTTTCCGTCCTTCACTGCCATGGGGATTTGCCGCTGGGAGTGGTTCGCTTTTAGGCGTCGCAGCTAGCCACCAGCAGCAGCAGCAGCAGCAGGAGCGTCTTCAGCAGCAGGAGCGCCTTCAGCAGCAGGAGAAAAAAGTAGCTAAAATCATCTTTTCTATGGGTTTCAGAAGTTACGTTAGGCATTTTTGCGGTGCAATATCGAAGCTTTTCCGTCCTTCACTGCCATGGGGATTTGCCGCTGGGAGTAGTTCACTTTTAGGCGTCGCAGCTAGCCACCAGCAGCAGCTTCAGCAGCAGGAGAAAAAAGTAGCCAAAATCATCACATCAGTTTCTATGGGTTTCAGAAGTTACGTTAGGCATTTTTGCGGTGCAGTTTCGGAACCTTTCCGTCCTTCACTGCCATGGGGATTTGCCGCTGGGAGTGGTTCGCTTTTAGGCGTCGCAGCTAGACACCAGCAGCAGCAACAGGAGCGTCTCCAGGAGCAGGAGAAAAAAGTAGCTAAAATCATCATTTTCTATGGGTTCCAGAAGTTACGTTAGGTATTTTTGCGGTGCAATTTCGAAGCTTTTCCGTCCTTCACTGCCATGGGGATTTGCCGCTGGGAGTGGTTCGCTTTTAGGCGTCGCAGCTAGCAACCAGCAGCAGCAGCAGCAGCAGCAGCAGCAGTAGGAGCATCTTCAGCAGCAGGAGAGAAAAGTAGCTAAAATCATCATTTTCTATGGGTTTCAGAAGTTACATTAGGCATTTTTGCGGTGCCATTTCGAAGTTTTTCCGTCCTTCACTGCCATGGGGATTTGCCGCTGGGAGTGGTTCGCTTTTAGGCGTCGCAGCTAGCCACCAGCAGCAGCAGCAGCAGCAACAGCAGCAGCAGCAGCAGTAGGAGCGTCTTCAGCAGCAGGAGAAAAAGTAGCTAAAATCATCTTTTTCTATGGGTTTCAGAAGTTACGTTAGACATTTTTGCGGTGCAATTTCGGAACCTTTCCGTCCTTCACTGCCATGGGGATTTGCCGCTGGGAGTGGTTCGCTCTTAGGCGTCGCAGCTAGACACCAGCAGCAGCACCTGCAGCAGCAGCAGCAGCAGCAGTAGGGATCCGTCCTTCACTGCCATGGGGATTTGCCGCTGGGAGTGGTTCGCTTTTAGGCGTCGCAGCTAGCCACCCCACAGCAGGCAAGCAGTCAGCCCCCATCATCATCAGCAGGAGTGTCCTTCATCACAGGAGAAAAAAGTAGCTACAATCCATCATTTTCTATGGGTTCAGAAGTTACGTTAAGCATGTTTTGCGGTGCAATTTCGACTGCTTTTTCCGTCCCCCTTCACGCCATGTGGGAAATTTGCCAGCGGGAGTGGTTCTCTTTTGAGGCGCGCTCTAGCCCCAAGCAGCGCAGTCACACATCAGCAGCAGGGCGTTCTTCACAAAGCAGGAAGCGTCTTTTCAGGAGCAGGAGAAAAAAGTAGCTAAAATCATCATTTTCTATGGGTTCCAGAAGTTACGTTAGGCATTTTTGCGGTGCAATTTCGAAGCTTTTCCGTCCTTCACTGCCATGGGGATTTGCCGCTGGGAGTGGTTCACTTTTAGGCGTCGCAGCTAGCCACCAGCAGCAGCTTCAGCAGCAGGAGAAAAAAGTAGCTAAAATCATCACATCAGTTTCTATGGGTTTCAGAAATTACGTTAGGCATTTTTGCGGTGCAATTTCGGAACCTTTCCGTCCTTCACTGCCATGGGGATTTGCCGCTGGGAGTGGTTCGCTTTTAGGCGTCGCAGCTAGACACCAGCAGCAGCAACAGGAGCGTCTCCAGGAGCAGGAGAAAAAAGTAGCTAAAATCATCATTTTCTATGGGTTCCAGAAGTTACGTTAGGCATTTTTGCGGTGCAATTTCGAAGCTTTTCCGTCCTTCACTGCCATGGGGATTTGCCGCTGGGAGTGGTTCGCTTTTAGGCGTCGCAGCTAGCAACCAGCAGCAGCAGCAGCAGCAGCAACAGTAGGAGCGTCTTCAGCAGCAGGAGAGTTAGGCTGCAATTTTCTTAGATCAAGTCGTGTCTTTGGTACCGGAGCATACTACTTGCCAACATTTTGTTCCACATCTTTTCCCGTTTGGTTTTTTGTGCGCTACCCGTATGCGGCCAAAGCGTTTCGTGCTTTGCACTTCTGTTAAACATGATGGACACTGATGTGTGAAAAAGCTCTGAATCACTGTGCCACCGCGAACACGGAAGCGGACACCACAATGCTGTTGTTTCGCATCAACTTGTCCATCAGTGACAGTACTACGGACCTGTGTCTCACAATGAGGACATATATATTCATAGACCGGCTTTCTCTGCGAGATAGTGGGCCCTGCTGTATTTTCAACGCATTTTTCAACAGGAATCGTGGTGCGACTACGTTTCCGAGCAATTGCTTCCCATGTCTCCTGGATAATTTGCCTGTGGCGCAATCTTTTCATATTTCTTAAGTTGGTACCAAGATTTCCCTGCTTCAACAAGTAACCAAATGTAGCTAATCCACCATACTTGCTTCCGGGGTCGGCGGCAGGGGCGGCAGCCCTTAATATATATACTAACATTGATTGGGGGTATTTCTTGATGGGATCCATGGAGCATATATACACCATTTTTCTAGCAGCACCATGGATTATGGCGTTAAAAAGGGCACTTTTTAAACCCCCGAAAAAGGTGGAGCTTTGGTGGAGCTTAGCTTCGCACCTCCGTGTTTTCTTCCATGTAGAGATGGTACGAGCCAAGTTTCTCATGCCTGACAGTTGGATCAATGATCAAATATGATCAAATATGATCAAATGACACCATCAAACAGATATCAAACAGATATCAAACAGCTATCAAACAGCTAAACAGCTGAAAACCTATGCCCCCGGACAGGATTTCTATCCGGCGCTTGTCCGCAACGTAAGTCATGCTTGGTCTCTTGGAGTGGTTCCAAGACCAGGTGTTGCGGAACCAAGCCTGCCAAGCCACAGCAGCTCGTTTTGAATACCCTCTGGTTATGTCAAAATAGCTATTGAAAATGACCATAGAAATAGTGGATTTTCCCATTGAAAATGGTGATTTTTCCATAGCTATGTTAAATTACCAGAGGGTATGTTGATTCAATTTTTCCTCTCTGGGTACAAAGAGGGAGGAACTCTGGTGAGGGAAACACGGGAAACTCTTGAAAAATCGAGTTTCGACTCTCCTGCCTGAGGCAAAATGCACAGCTCAGCCTGTTTTTCCGCAAGTTTCAGATACTTGTTCAAATCATGACATGATGAGTCCAAGTCATAGAAACTAAAATTGCAAAAGAGTAGCTTATGAACTTAGGACTGATTCCGAAAATGATGTCCTTACGCCTTATGGCAGCACATCAGTTCCATGAAAATTCCATGCCTCTTCCTTTCCACGATTGTGTGCAGTAATTTGAACCTCAATTTGCGATTCCAAAACTTGATCCCCACAGGGGGTTAACAGTGGTCTACAACCTCATTTTACCCCGTGGAATTTGTAGTAATTGAAAGATGTTGAAAGTTATTGAAAGTAAATCAAAAGTGACAAGTTATCAATGTAAATCATCCATTTTAAGGCCATTTCCAAGATAAACAAGCAGAAATGTCGCTAAGGAAGCTGCGAGAGTATCATCCGGATTTGCCTGGGCATACCTGCAGAAATGGTTGGAAATGTGCCCATTTTCCGTCCATGTTCGGCGCGCGTTCACGCCGCGTTCACGCCAAGGCCGGAGCTCTATCTCGACATCAAAGTATCGATTGTCATCGAAAATCCCGGTGTCCAGCAACTCATACTCCCTGTGATTCACAAGGGTCAAGGATGGTATCAAGGATGGTCTTGCGACTGTCAAGGTGGCTGTCAAGGTGACTTGCTGTGATTCACTGGGCGTGATGCAGGCGAGATTCAGAAGCAGAGGGTCCTTCTTTCTTTCAAAGTTGACCCTTCTCAGCTCGTCGTATGGAAACTCAGCCTTCGGTGCTGGGCCATGCTGGGCCATGCTGGGCCAAAGTCGCACTGTTGGGCTGCTGGGGCCTGGGGATATTTGTACATCATCTTCATGTAGCTATGTGTTGGAGTTGCGTCCAAATAGTAGTACAGCTCCTGCCAAAACACATCATCACCATGCACAAAATAATCCTCTGCAAAAAAATCATGAATTGATGTCATAATGTTTGATGAAGTCATGATCTGTTCAGAGAATTTGCAGAAACATCTTCAGAAACCACCTCAATACACTGATCTCGCTTTCTTGGTTGCCCGCTCCTTCACATCTTCACCATGGTTGCCCTGAGGATTGGACAAGCCATAGAGTTTCTCCTGGAACCGATGACTGAGAGGAAAACTACAAACTTGACACCGGAGGAAGAACATAGGAAGAACCTAGGAACACATATGGAAAAACATGGCTTTGGATCAATTGAACATGTGATATGTGAAAATAAGAGTGACACGGGCCCATTTTCAGCGATGACATCCATGACTTTCCATGACTTCAAATGGTCACGACCATCTTCCCTACACTTTGGCCAGAGGTCAGCGCATTGTGCGCCTCCCGCAACTGACTGAAGTGAAATTTTCGAATGGGTGGTACAGAAATCTTGCCACCCTCGATCCAGCTTTTAAGCTGTTTTAAATATTTCTCCCCTGTCTCAATCTCATCTGAAAAGAAACTCCTTGGTTACAAGTGCAATGAGTGCAACTATCAGATTCCCATGGATTCAACAGCAATCCAACAGCTGTCTGTTAAAAGCCGATTTTTAGCCGATGGTCAACTGCTTTCCAAGGAGCAGGTTGAATCCCAGGACTGCCTTTGAGTCCAAGGTCAAAAACATTGGATCCTCAGTGATGCATCCGTCGTGAAGCCAAGCTGACGTTGAGATGCTGCGGAACGACGTGTCACGTTACGTGTGCGACGTGAATTTTTCCCAAGCGTCAAAATGCGGTGTGCGGGCCAAATCGATCGCCATGCGAATCCAATTTAGAGGAGATAGTGCTCCCAATCCACCATCGCATTTGGGCAGATTTGAGTGAAAGCCATACCTCAACATCAAGATATATCAAGATCAAGCGTTGGAAAACCAATGCCTTGATCTGCTTGTCATGACGATCCAAGTGCCGCACACCACCAATCTTCCATTTCCTCAGAAAATGAATCTGCTAACCCACTGTGACAGTCTGTGAAGCCATGCTCAACGCTGGGTTTCCCACTAGAAAGCAAGTTGTAGGAAGCCTGCGCGTCTTGCATACGCTGAGCAGCTGTGCAAAGTGCCCAAATTTGCCCAAGTTTGATTCACTTTCCAAAAGTTGCAACATGCAAAAACATAACAAAACATAAACATACAAAATCAAACAAACTGAAAACAATGTCTTCCAAATGATGCGACAGCGGGCAAATATATGGTTCATTTCAAGCGTCCTTCAAGGTCGCCACACCATTTGCATCAAAGACTGCGCGATAGCCATCTGGCGCATGTCTTGCAGCAGCTTTTGCCTCGGGAATAACATCGAAAAATGGCCACTTGGATATACCACTTGGTTCAACATGTTTGACATGAGCCATGGTCAATACTCACTATATGGTTGATGGTCATCCCATCCATAATAAGGATCCTTATAATGGTTAATATATATCCCTATGAACCATTGGATGACTAGCCCCTATTAATGGTTATTAACCATGAGTATTGACCATAGCTCACATGGTTTGACTGACTTGTTGGGGCACCCAGTCTTCACTGGACTTGTCGATGACCACATCAGCCTGCGATGCGAGATGCGAGTTGTGACTTGTGACTTGCGACTTCATGGATAGAGGGGCCAGTTTGGTATACCATCTATCATCATAGAAACCTGTTAAAGGGATAAACAAGATAAACAAACCCATCGTTTTAAACCAACATTAACCAACCAATGGGAATTTGGGACATCTATGGGCACCACCTCCGGGCACCTTGCAGGAGCGAACTTTGCTTTGGCTCCCAACAACCCCAACCACTCGCAGGCCGTAGAGCCGTAGCAACTGACACAGCATATCTCCTACGCCACCTGGCGCACGAATGGTGGAAGACCGTGGAACACAAGTGGAATTGGATGGAATATGATGGAACTCTTCCAATTCCAAGACTGTACAGAATATTATTGTATGATTATATTGTAACATCCAATCATGGAATTGTTAATATAATATACCAATATAAATATAATATAATATGAACATACTGTACAGAATAATGTTATAACAATATTATTGTAACATCATGTTCCAATCATTCCAGATGTTATGGTCATAATATTCTGTAATATTCTTATTGGAATATGATTATAATATACCAATATTGTAGCATCCAATCAGAAAATATTCCAATATAATTGCAGATGTTCTATAATTATCATCTGCAACAGAAAATCCAACCCTCGAGCTAAGGAGGTGACCAGCAGCTGAATGGACCAAGGCATCCCGTCCTACAAAAATCCGAAGAAACAAACGGATGAAAAAAGGCTTGGAACCTCTGTCTCTGCCTTTTTTCCCAGGAACTCATAGTAATTTGATGTATTTTGATGGTATTTTGCATCTTTCATCTACTTTCTTGATGGCCCAAATATCCAAAATCAAAAAAACATGTGGGAACTTGTCAAACTCATGGATTTGGACCCTTTCAAGTTGAACGGTGTCTGATACGGACTTGCGGCTGTCCTCGGCCAATCAGTTCCGGCGCGCCAGCCTCATCATCGCTTAGGCATGATCATCATGATCATCCCATTTCAGGAACAGATGACAGATCAACACATCCAGAAATGATGTTATTCCCATTTTTAGGAGATAGATCATCTATAATATCCTATAATAGATGATAGATTGATCATGATTCTTAGATATCTTAAGTTCATTGGCCAAGCAACCAAATTCACCGCATGCAAAGCAGTGAGCACCACCGTTGGAAACGCTGCAGCAGATTCAAAGGTCATATCGTCTGGCATCTTCATGACTTGCCAACTAGGCACCACCACACCTGGCCAACCGCCCAAACTTTGAGGATCTCTTCGCATCTCGGGAAAATCCTGATCCAAAAATCGGGGCATTCCATAAATTGCGGTACCAAAAAATAGCTGGATGATAATGGAAAAATATGGAAAATACCGCCAAAATGGGTGATTTAATGTGATTTATGATGATTTGATATGATTTGGGGATACCATGACTTGGGAAACCTCCATAGAAACCTCCATATTCGTCATATTCCCCCTGCAACCACCGTTTTCAGCAAGTCGCGGGAAGCGTAGGCACCAAAGAAGCTGCAGCCGAAGACCCGGTCGCCCACGGAAAAAGCCGAGTCAGCACCAGCCACCTCCACCTCACCTTGGATTGTTGAATGGATAGCATTGGATAGTCCTAAATTTTGGATGATTTTGGATTTTGAAGATCGATTTCGAAGTCATGGACTTTTGGTGTGTAATCTTTATAATCTTTTTGGATTTTTGGACCGATATTAGGAATCTGAATGTCGCCCCATCACTTTTGCGATCGATCACACCTGCAAGGTCGAAGCCGGGGATAATGGGCCAGCCGACATAGCGCAGTGCAGACTCATAGAGGCCCCATCTGATGCAAATATCTGCATAATTGATGCTGAAAGCCTTGTTGCGAACCACCACCAAATCCGACCGCAGTGATGGTGGCGATGGTGGCGATGGAATGCTTTGGCCTCCAAACTCCTGTCAAACAGATTGTGTTTCTACACCGAAATTACCATCTGGTTATGACTAACATAGCCATGGAAAATCCCAAAAATAAATGGAGGTTGATGTCGCTGGGAAAATCATCTATTTCTATGGGCCATCTTTTCCATGGCTATGTTAAACAACCAGAGGGTAAGTCACCTCAAAATCTTGGAATGGTGCAATGATGGGATGCTCCCCGTCAGCCTTCATCAAGTTGTAGCCACAAACCGCCCAGCAGTCATTGAAGGCTTGGACTTGGTCCACGCCTTGCAGCAGGAATTTCAAGCAAAAAATATGTGGCAATTCTTCATCGGAGACATCAGGAGATGTGGTCAACTTCAATATGGCTATTTTCATAGAGAACATGATAAATTACCCTCTGGTAAACTAACATAGCTATGGAAAATCACCATTTTTAATGGGAAAAACCACTATTTCTATGGTCATTTTCAATAGCCATGTTAAACTACCAGAGGGTACTCTAATATTATCTGAATATCAACCATGGATTTCTTGGCTTCTCACCTCCAGGTCCAACGATCTTCGCAGAAAAACACCTGCTCTCCGTGGAATGGCTCACATCCCCAAAGGGCGGGCTGGGTCGTTTCAGCACCTGCAAGGGGGTGACCATGGTGAGCTCAAGTGCCAGATGCCAGTGAGGAGTTTTGGATGATCTTGGAATCCTCCATGGTCCATCTAGGCCATCTGGGCCAATCATGCCTAGCTTGTGCCAGGATCGAATTTAGATGAATTTAGATGAATTTAGATGAATTATTCGGGCAGTGGAAGGGAAACGAGCCAACCAGCAGCCAACCCCTTTTTGCATTGCGACGTCTACAAAGGTGGTAGACTTAATGGTTTTGATATGTTTTAATACAGTAACCACTGGGTAGACTTGTTTGGGTCAAAGGTCAGGATTCTCACCACCGGTAGCAATGCCGCCATAGCCATAGACCCCGGCGCCTGACGGAGAAACCAAATCCTTAGGTCTCAACTCATCAAGATCATCATGTGATCATCATGATCATCATGATCATCGGATGTTTATCATGTACATATTTAATATATATTTTAATATATCTATAATCAGATCTTTCATGCAATGACAAGCCATGACGCTCACAAGTTGACCCGAATATATTTCAGGCTGCCATCCCATGGAGATCAACTCGGCTCCAGTGTTCAGCTGGGCCTCTGTAGGTTTAACGCCAACGCCACAATTTGGTTCCACAGTACTTGCCAGTCCAGCGCCATGGCTGGGCCGCTGTGAAAAAAACGCTCTGTGAACGCTGTGGTTTCACGCACTTGGCGGATGCGGAGTCGGTTGAGATTGGTTTTATTGGAAGCTGCCATGGGATATCATCAGTGGATATCATGGGTATCATCAATTGCATCATCAATTGGACAATAGCATGGATAATATATGATAATATCATGGATAACATCAAGATTGTCGAGATTGTCAAGCAGGATTGGGAAATCCGCTTCGGCTGACCGATTTGAGGCATCTGCATAGGCTGGGAGCGCTATGAGCCAAGCTGAGTCATGTGCAGGTGACAATTCGTCTGGCACGGCGTCGCATGAGAGCTCTGCAGGCGGTCCTTGAGAATGGGATCCTGCACGCGGAGGAAACTTTGAAACTTTGAGGCTTGTGGAAAGGGTTGGGATTGGTCCTCTTTCACCAGAAAATTTAAGACTTGATGCTACGCTCTCTTAATTTTATCTCATGAAACTCTGAAGATAACATGTTCAAAAAGACGCGTTTTCGCGGTGAACATACCATCTCAATCTTGAGATTCTTGAGGCTCGCCTCCAGGGGTTCGTGCTAATCTCATTGGAACATCTTGTTGTAAATTCTTTAAACATACCCATAGGATCCATGTATGGTATATATGGTAACATTTACCATCAATATACCCCAAATGTTAGCATATATACCATACATATGTTGTAATTTTAGTTGTAAATGTTGCACATGTCCTGAATGTCCTGAATGTCCTGCGTTTCACAACATTTCGCTGTGAAGATTTTTGAAGCGGACAGACTTTCAAAACGCCGCAAGTGGTCGCTCAGGCGCCACCTTTCTGGTGGAACATCGCAGCATCATGGAGTTGGACTTTGAAGTTTGAAGTACCCTCAACATCCATCAACATCCGAGAGTTTTCTCGTATTCTGTACATAGTGGTGCCCCATAGATAGCTAAGTTGGTTTATAACTACAATAAGTGGGACTTATGGTAGATATATCTATAGTTGATGGGGGCTATAAACTAACTTATAACTGGGGGGTACCACATTGTAACGGTTATGACTCACTTATGATCTCACGGAGCCACGACGACAAATCGCCACTGTCCTTGCCGTTCCACAGGGCCAAACCAAGGCAGAGCTGCATGGATCGATCGCACCAACCTGCAAGACCATCCTGCGGCGGAACATCGAAACATCGAAACATCGAAATATCTATGGGTAATATATTAATATGGGTATATTAATGGTATATATATATATTTATTATCTGAAATATATTAATGGGTAAACCATCTATATACCATTATATAATAGGTATTACACCATCTATATACCATATCAAGTAAACCATCTATAGATATATCATTAACATATCAAGTAAACCATCTATATACCATGAAAATAGGTATGATATATGGTATATTAATAGGTATTACCTAAAGATATAGATGGCCCATTTATAGAAATAGATGGTTTGCCTATTTTCATAGCATGGTGATTTTCCATAGCAAACTGCGAATGTCATAACCAGATTAACCAGATGGTATCTGGTTAGTGAACCGAAGTTTTTAAAATGATTAAAATGATTAAAGTGCATCTGAGTGCATGAAAACCCTGCTTTTGATAGGAAAAATGGGGTAGAGATGTGATCAATGGGGGTTCAGCGACTGATGATCTCAAGAAGGAAGGGGAGAATGCCAGTGATGCCAGTGATGTCCCACAAACATCCACCCAACATCTCCAGTAAGAGGCTTTCAAAGGGCGTCTTTATCCACAAACATAGCATAAAATTGCATAACTGGTGATAAATTACATTAAATTCCCATCATTTCCCCAAAAATTCCCATCACCAGCCGTGCCTCACCCCATCGATATGCGATGTAGTGTGAAGCCTGCAACCGTTTTCAAACAGGTCGCAGTTGATCGGTCATGACGATCGTTTTTTTTTTCGTCCCGACCTCGAAGGGTAGATAGATCCAGGAGTTGCCATGCCCGGCGTAGTCTTCACCTTGGAATTTCTTCAACAAACTCAAGTCAATGAGTTTGTTAATTTCATATAAATGTCATTTCATAGTCAACTTAAACGGAACGAGTTTGTTAAAATCATATAAATTCTATATCCAAAATGAATCTCTGTCAATACCATCCAATCTCCATGGATTTCAATCGCCATAAACGCTTCAACCGTGCTTCGTTTCGTCCAAATCCATGCCGGCTTCACGGCAGGTGCCCCAGTGTCGCTCGCTCACCTGACCAGAATTTGAAGATCAAATCAGTAAAGATCAGTTAAGATCAGTGAAGGTTTGATGGTCTTCATCTATTCTATCAGATTCTATCAGATTCCATCAGATTCTATCAGATTCTATCAGATTCTATCAGATTCTATGTATGTATATATATATATTAATAGAATTTACATAGATATATGCTCTTGACAGACTTCTGACCTCTTTCACTTCGACAATTTCTAAGATGTCTTAGGCTCCAGCGTAGGGGCCCCATCTCTTCCAATCTTCACTCCCTTCTTCGCACCTGGCCGATCATCCCCTTAAACCAGATGATATCATTCTTAACCCCAGATGACATACATATATATATACATATATATATATACATAGATATATATATATAAACATATATAAAAATATAAATATAAATATAAATATAAATGTATATATATATATACAAATATGTTGAATGATATATTAACCCAGAGATTGGATGATATAACTATATCAAATCATTCATAATCCGTGATATTAATTGGAAATCATCCAATTCACCTTAAACAGATCCAAGTTTATAACTCAGTATATAACTTAACAGTATGACCCCCTATTTTTTCCCATCCAACAGGGCTCTTCCGCACCAATGATCTAAGACAAGATGCGCAGCTAGACGACCGTGCTCAGGGGAAATCTCCCTGAGGTCCTGTCAGTTGAAACACCCAAAAAATCATGGGCTTGTTGATTCCGATTTTAAACATCCAAGGACCCTAGACTCCAGTAGACTCCAGTAGAATCCAGACTTCAGACTCCAGTAGAATCCAGTAGAATCCAGTAGAATCCAGACTTCAGACTCCAGTAGAATCCAGTAGAATCCAGTACCTTGATAACCTTGACCATTTAAATCATACGCCTAAACTATGAGGATGATGCAGGATCCTCATGGTTTTTTCATGGCTCGAAGCATGGAGCCACTCACGGCCTTTCCAGATACATTCATCGGTGATGGATCAAACGCGCTACGGCCTTGGTCAACAAAAAGATAGGAGAAACCAGAAAAAGATAGAAATGGTTCGAAAAGGACGTCATCAATGCCAGCAAAATATTGTGATGATTTACTTTTCTACCCATTTATAGTGGATTTACCCATTAAAAATGGTGATTTTCCATGTTTTTTGTATGTTTACCAGAGGGTATCTTTTTTGGGGTTTCATTATCATCATAGATGAAGCGATCATGACCTGAGTCTATGTCAACTAGAGTGTCATTTTGGAATGGGGGAAGTCATCGTCCCACCTGTTGAGACACCCTCCAAAGAAAGCTATATCCGGCGACCAAAATCTTTTTTTCACCATCTTCAGCAACATGTTGGGAAAAAAACAACCTGTAAAAATTGTCACCACCCAAAAACGTAAGGAGCATCCCGCCCCAAAAAGAACAAGAAATCGGCCAGAAATGGTGCGCCACAATGCCAATCTATGCCATACGTCACCATCTGGGGCACCCAACTTGCTTGTCGAAATCGATCCACAAATTTCGACTCTGGTGACGTCGCCATGGTGAGCTGGACCTGTGCACAGGGATGAATTCTGGAAGAGAAACTGCTGAAAGGGAACCATGCAGTGGAATTTCAGATGGATAGACCATAATAGATGATGATAATTAGATGACAATTAGATGATAATCTATAATAAGTTTCAGATTTGTTATAAGATGGAAGTACTCCAAGAAAATTAGATGATGAAGAATGATGAAGATAGATACTTTGGAGCCATGAAACCCTGGATGAACAGACTTTCTCTCCAAGGCAAAGTAGCCCTGGGCAGCCTGGGGAGCATAGGTCCCTCAAAATCGGAGCACAAAGCTGCGGAGAAAAGCCTGAGAAACACATCATAGACACCAGAATATTGCAGAATCATGTTCAATGTGCGGAAAGGGTGCCTATCATGATTTTTGCAGGTCTTTTGGCAATTCCATGGTTCATATTGTTTCCACAGCATGTTATCGCTGCGTATAGATGTCAGCCAGCGTGCAAATGCGCATAGGCTCTAGGGCTAAGAGCCCCTGACCACACACTTCCCGAGGGGAAATGTGGGGAGCTCTTCTTGGAAACGGAAAATCGAGCGTTGGAATGTTCGGATGGCAACATCATTGGTGTTAGTTGGGGGCATCTGTATCTTTTCTCATCTGCTCATCATGGGAACTGTCAGTCCTGTATCACTTCTGTGTTTCATCCTGTATCATCAGAGTAAATTATAAGAATTCACTAACTTGATTTTTTTTGGGCTATATTGGGATTTTAATTCTTTCTGATTCCAGTGAGGTCGCATGATCTGTATCCCCATGTTGATCCATGTTGGACAGCCGTGAGAAAGGCATTAACAAACGACGCAAACGGAACTCGCCGCCACGCTCGGCGGCTCGGCGTGAAAATTGCGGAACAAATTCAATGCCGCTGCCAGGGCTGCCAGGGGCTGCCAGGGCTGCCAGTGTCTTATGTGTGGCATATGTTTGGCAACCTCCCTTTTGAAATATCAACTTCCAGTTCACTTTTAAGGTGAGGACCTGGGTTTCTCTAGTGACTGGTGCATCATTTCGCAGTTCGAATATGTGGAGTTTCGAGTTGGAATCAATGCACGCGCAGTGCGAGTGAAACATCTGCGTTGACTCAGGAGTCCTTGGACTCCGCCCGTGGACCCCGTGGACGCGGGGCCTCAGAAAATTCAGAGGAATGGATGGAATTTAGGGGAACATAGACATGAAACATACATGAAACATATATGAAACATATATGAAACATCATAAAACCCTGACATTTACCTCACCCCAAAAAAAATGTGTGTCCGATTTTGGGACTGGCAATTGTGAGGATGGACATCCCTTGATGGGAATTCCAGGTGCCGTGGCCAGTGCCAAAAACAACGGCAGTGTTTGGCCATCAACAGCCATCAACAGCCAAGGTTCACTGATTTTGTTCCAAGTACCCTTTGGTTATGTCAAAATAGCTATGGAAAATGGCCCATAGAAATAGATGGTTTACCTATTAAAAATTGTGTTTTTTTCACATTCTATTACCTCAGTTGAATCAGCAGTAATCCGCATTTCTGTTGGCCCCAAACAGGTTTCAATTTATGGTCCGAGCAATTTGTGGTGGTTTAAAGTTCATGAAATCCCACAAATCCCCATCTCTTCCGATTTTGCCGGTGAAATCTATGGATTTTGCCGAACTCCGTCACCGTTGGGTCCACCGTTGGGCAACCGTTGGTTGGGTCCCCTGCCATCTCTCCGTCAGCGGTGACGCAGTTGCCCTGGTCCACTTCCGTCCGTCGCAGCGGTGCTGAAAAGGTGGAGAAGTAGATGGCCACCTGGGACCGGAAAATCCCGAAGATCCCGAAGATCCACAGTTGAAGCGACATGGACATTGCATCGATTTGTTCTGCTTCCTTGGGAGACGCGATATTTGCAAATCGAGTTTGTGATGTTTTTTTACGGAAAAACGATGGTTTCTAAATGTTTCTAACCATCAAATACTAGGTGTTTCCTTCACATTTTCTCGTGAACCAATTCCGGAACACTGAGAATGGCGCCGCAATTAGAATGGCCAGCAACAGAATGGTATCGCCGCGTAGGTAGCCATCCATGCCTACGGCCAAAGGAATCTAATCCTGATGGAAGAATGAGCAACTACCCCATCTTTCACCATGTCAGCCAGAAGTTTCTGCAGCGTCAAAGCCATCAAACAGATTGGACCCAAAATCGACTCGGTGAGATGTTTAAAATGTGATCTTTCAATTCAACATACAGTCAGTAACTCAACATAACTCAACATCACGGAAGTTCCCCTTGTTAAGACTGCTAAGAACATCTCCATTACCCCATCTTCCCTTTTTTGGCCTGGGATTGTGACCTTGTTGTCGGCCGCCCATTCGCAAATTGGCACCAGTAGCGCTGAGACCTGAGATGGTGGGAAACCCCCAGGGGACCAACCACAGATATTCAATTTACCCTTATAAATGGAGGTTTCTAGCTGGGAAAATCATCTATAAATGGGCCATTTTCCAGAAATCCATGGATTTACCCTCTGGTAAATTAACAGTTCGACCCTGGCAGTCATCGGGGTTGGAAGACTCGTTTCCATTAAACATGGGTGATTTTCAGGGTCAACAAGTTTATTTACCAAAGGGTATGTGATGGTCAGAAAGAACACCTGAAATTTTCAGTGCTTCGGTCAATGTCTGAAAGAGTTCAAACTTGAAACTTGGGAGAAAATAAGGATAGAGAGGTTGCCAATCCCCAAAAGATTGACAGGTTCAAAACACAAAACCCTTTTGTCAGCCCCAAGCCATCAGTGGTGATAGTCCAGCAACATCATCAGCAGGTGGGTTGAAAACATCAACCAGTTCGATGATTTTAGATGCCTAGACTCCTAGATCCAGAACTCCTGTTAGGACCACCGTTGTTTTTTACCAAATATCATATCATATCAAATCATATCATGTCATATCATTCAATATAATACCATATCATTTGATATCATATCATTTGATCTCATATCATATCGTTTTTGAGGCAACCAGCTCCAAAATCATCCATGGAGCTCCAGTTCCCGTGGTGCGTTTGCGGGCAAGGCACCAGATTCCCGCAGAGCTGCTGAACAGCCTCGATGGCATTTTCATCGCAAGGATAGGTCACCTGGCACCAGGCAGAGGGATCCACAAGCTGTTCGTGGTGCTGGTGGTGGATGGATGGCATACATGGAATACTTATCGCACCCCGAGTTTTTTAAAAGGATAAGCAGCAATGAAACAGTAGAAAGTGAACAACTGTAGCCACTCCCCGCACTTTCATGAGCTGTCGGATCTTCAAGAAGTGAAACCATGAGGGGGTTGACAGAATTTAGGGTACCTCAACATCCACAGCATCCACTGATTTATCATCATTATCCCCCCAAATCCATATGTTCACATAATATATGTATATAGGTAATATATGTATGTATGTATGTGTACAGTGTATATTATGTATGTATGTATGTTATGTATGTTATGTATGTTATGTATGTTATGTATGTTATGTATGTTATGTATGTATGTATGTATGTATGTATGTATGTATGTATGTATGTGTATGTATGTATGTATGTATGTATGTATGTATGTATGTATGTATGTATGTATGTATGTATGTATGTATGTATGTATGTATGTATGTATGTATGTATGTATGTATGTATGTGTATGTATGTATGTATGTATGTGTATGTATGTATGTATGTATGTATGTATGTATGTATGTATGTATGTATGTATGTATGTATGTATGTATGTATGTATGTATGTATGTATGTGTATGTATGTATGTATGTATGTATGTATGTGTATGTATGTATGTATGTATGTATGTATGTGTATGTATGTATGTATGTATGTTATGTATGTTATGTATGTTATGTATGTTATGTATGTTATGTATGTTATGTATGTTATGTATGTTATGTATGTTATGTATGGTTAGTTAGCATTGTGCTCCCCCGTCTTTTTCCCTGACCCGCCCAGATTAATATAGCATAAATTCCACCAGCCTACACCCTCAAAAAAACATAACAGCCAAAACAAATTTCATCTTATAAATATTTTTCATAAGATAAAATCTAACTTTCCTTCTTCTTCAAATTCTCCTGATGTTTCATTGTTGTTGTATGCCTTTTGTAATTTTTAAGTTGAATATCATAATCATCACATACAGGGCACTTCATCCATTTTATCTTTTCAAATTCCTCTTTGTCATCTTTACCAATATTTGAAAGGTGTTCCCTTGAACGAATATGCTTTGACCAACTGCCTTTTTGAATTTCAACCTTACAATCATCACAATATACTTTTGTCTGTTTAACCTCCTTTGTTTTTTCAACATTTTCTTTTGCCCAGTCTCTCCTTTTTTCAGCATTATTTTTTGAATACAACCTACAATAATCTAAACAAGGCTGACACTGTTTGTATTCTCCAAACTCTGCTACAGGCTTTACCCTTCTACATTTTGAACACTTTTTTGTATCCTCCATAATTCACCTAATATATAAGATACTTTCCCTTTAAATCACTTTCCCTACAACATAATCAACAACACAATCATAACAACAAAACAACAAACAAAAAACTCAAACAACCTAAACAATACAATAGACTATAAAAAAGACTATACCAAAAACCATAACAACAAACCAAAACAAAAGACAATTTCACTTTTATAAAATGAAATTTAACTATCATTCTTCTTCAAATTCTCCTCATGCTTCAAAGTGTTGGTGTGCCTCTTGTAATTTTGAGTTTGAATTTCATAATCATCACTTCAAATTTATGGGGATAACCAACATAATTTTCATAATCATTTATCATGAAGATTATGGGATTATTTACCACAGTCTCCCCCTATAGGGGAAGCCTCAGCCCCCAGCCAATATACTATCCGACCCCCCAGCATACATACCAGCATACATACAAACTAGCATATCACAACAGCATCACATCTTTCATTACCGCAATTACCATGCCCGAACCGCCCTTCATGAACTTGTTGATAACCATGTCTTCTTGACCTCAGCGCAATGTAAATGGCACAGCAATCCAAACTTTTGGGGCGAAATGGAGTGAAGAAGATTTGTGTGGTGTGCGTCCCAGACTTGTTGGTGCCAGTCTTCTCAAGTTTTTGGAAGGGTTTGTCTTTGTATCAGGCATGTATGCACTGAATGTCAAGCTTTTAAAGGCTCACTGGCATCAATGCTCTATTGAAGCAATGTCCTATTCCTACTTGACACCCTGAAACCTTGCTACCTACAGACCTTGTCAATCATAAAAGCATCAGCCAAGAGCCCTGTTTTGCAAGTCGGCGAAGCAAGCACTGTTTTGCAAGTCGCCCTCGCGGCGAAGCAAGTCCGTGAGTCAGCATCATGCTATCTCATGGCCAGACGTCACCTATCACACATGTGTTTCCATTTTTCCTCTGCGCACACGCAAGCTAGTGCGGGGTTCCAGTGGCAGCAATATGCAATTTTGTCGCCCCCTTCTGGACACCTTCGATAAACTGTGCAACATTCATTCGCCTCAGTAGTCTCCTTGCCGACGTTTTCGGACGTGCGCTCCACTATGCTGCTTGCGCTTTTCTCAGTCTCCTTCCCGAGGTTCTCGGACCGGGGGCACGCGGGGCATACGGACGGAGGTTGGATGGCCCGGTGGTCCTGTGCCATGACGTTGTTGCAGCTCACGCACAATGCAAGGATGAGGCAAGCGAATACACCGGATTTGAGCGCCATGGCAATGCCGACACCCCTGAGCTAAAAAGCGTCCCTGAGTGGCTTGAGGAAAAACTCGCAAAAACGCTACGGAAGAACATAAAGATGCTGAAGAATGACACAAAATTCCAAGCGCAAACTGAAAGAGCTAATTTCTGTAGCTTTCCAATTGAGAATGTCAAAGATGCTCAAATTGAAACAAATTCCAAGGTCAAGCTCTCCAAGAACATGTGGCTTCAAACCTCCAACTGGCATATTCCCAACAGCTGAGCGCCGCGACAACAGGATGAAGAAGAGATTGATGACAAAGCCAAGGCGAGGAAGGGCAAAGGAACATAGAGCAATCCCAGCCAATGACCCAAACGTGCCAAACACAAATTCATGGGGAAACAAATGAAGGGCAAAACACAAAACCCCGAAACCAAAACAGCACATCAAATCAACCATCTCATGGTTGCATCAAGTAGGCATGAGTAAGAAAAAATGAACTTACAAGGCTTTCTAAAAACACTAAATCTTTAAAAGTTCATGCCTCATCAACAATCTTGGGTAATCAGTTAATTTGTAATATTTTTGGTTCAACTTTTCTGCAACCTCTTGCACAACATAATAACCTTTCAGCCAGTGGGAAGTTCTTTCTTTCTCTGTAATTGCTTTCTTTCTCATTATCTTTACCTTATCACCGACAAATAATTCTGGATAGATTTTTTCCTTCTTTGCCTTTGATGCTACATTCAGCATTGCCCTGAATTCATTTTTATCCTTCCTTGCTTGATTAGGTGTCATACCTGTGGCGGAGTGTTTCATCTTATCATTATATGTGAGCATAATTTCTAAATTGTAGTCTGTCCACTGTATATTCTGCTTTTCAGCTTTTTCATCAGCTTCAACTCTTTTGAAAAGCATATCCTTATACGTTTTTATGAAACGCTCAGCAAAAGCGGGATGACCTCTTGTTCTATACAACTCAATACCTTCACCTTCCACATAATTTTTAAAGTCTTCACCTGCTATGGCACGTTCATCATCAGTGTAAATTATTTTACTTTTCTTACCCATTTTCTTTAATGCCTCTTTAGTTGCCTCAAGGACATCCTCACCATTTTTTGTTTTAATTGGAACTACCACCGCAAACTTGCTTAAAACATCAATACACACTAACCCACCTCTATATTTTTGTTCTTCATCAAAATCATAATAACCCACAAAGAACAAATCTATCTGGAACGTGTGAAAATTATGTGGTGCTATGAAGGAATTATGACCTCTTGGCTTTGCTTTTATTTCTACATTCTTTTTAAAGAATTGTTCAACATCTGACATTTTTATTGTCGGTTCTTTCTCTCTGGCATCTTTTAAAGTAGTAGCCTTGCTTCCATAGCCACTTCTATCAAAATAAATATCACTAATAATCTTCTGCTTATTATCAGCCATTATATTTATAATGATATTTTATTTGAAAAAGCGCAATTACAAGACACACAATAACCTTTACAATTATCTTTAAAGTGAGCTTCACAACAATTAACTCTTTGACAGGTTATATTTGATGAAATCCTGCCATCAAAATCTATCACCAACGGTTCATTACAATTCTCACACTGGGTATTCATCAGGTTCATCAAAAAATCTACATCAACATAATCATTTCCTTCTACATCTCTACCTGCTTTCTTGTCTTGCTCAATGTAATTTAAAACCTTTCTCTCAAAATACTGCTCTACTATCCTTTTAGATTTACTTTCTTGACCTTCATTATATTTGAAAAACTTGATTTTGTTAAAGTCTGTCGCCCTTGTGAGCGCTGTAAAAAACCAATTCTTACTAACATACCATTCATTCCAATCAAATATGACTATATCACCATCAACACTACAGCCCTGCTTTGAGTGAGCGGTGTAGCAGTAAGCATATATAAAATGTTTTCTCAATAATTCTATTTTTATGTTTGCTTCTCATTTGTTGCCACATTTTGTAAAACAACAATATCCCCAACGATATTTGAAATCCTAAATTTAAAATTAACATTAAATTTTGTGCCCATAGTCTTGATATATCTTCGGCATATAACTTCCTCACCAATGACATACTCTTCAGTTATATTTTTCATCTCTCTGATTTTGCTTGAAACCATTTTACAGGTGTTATTTGTATAAGCAATGTTATTATCATACATTTCTATCTTGTCAGTCCATTTGAAATATGCATCAATGATTTCTCTAAAAGATGTGCCTTCAAAAATCAACCTTTTAACATCTCTTAACTTTTGCCTATCTTCTTCAGTCTTCAATCTCTTACGTTCATAAAGCATAATATTATTTTTGAAAATTAAATTAATACAATGGTCAGCATATTTTTCAAAAGCAATTACATTACTTACACTCTCAGGATTTTTCAATTGCTTTGTATCACCTGTTGCTAATACAATCTTATCAGGATTATTTTTCTCAAAGTCCCATATCAAAGCCCACTTGCCCACATTATGAAAATATATCTCATCAAACACTATGACATCATAACCTGAATAATCAAACTTTTGTAGTCTCTCATCTCCAAATGAAATACCAAAAAACTTATTTATGGTAGTCCATTCACAACCGCATTGTTGCCCTAACTCATTGCTATGAACAACAAACAACACTTTGTAGTTTTTATTTTTCAGATGCTTACATATATAGCTCTTGCCTGTTCCTGCTACTTCCCCTCTTATCATCAACCTCTTATTATTCAAAATATGCTCATCTATGATTTCATCAGTGTTCCATTCATCCTTGACATCACCCGTTTTATTTTCATATTCAGCTATATCACATAGAATACTGGGTTGCTTACAAAATGCCTTTCTGGGAAAATTGAATTTATCAGACCACCGCCAGTCTCCAATCTCACTACCAAATTTTAACACTCCCTTTGCCTTACCCAGATTACATTTATCAATCACAAAGGCATCAGTTTTTACTGAATACACCATTACATCATCCCTCATAAGTGTTTCATAAGCCTCATTCATATCAAAATTATGATGTTGTAAAATCAGTTCTTTCACATATTTATATCCATTCAGTAAAGTTTTTGTATCGGAAATGTTCAGCACATAGTGCTTACACTCATCCACTATTTTAGCACATTCTTTCTCATCACTTTCAGGTTCAATGACATTACCTTTATCATCAAATTCAAGCAAACAATCATCATCATTATCATTCACTTCACCATCCCATTTAGTTTCAGTAATGATACTTATATCACCACCGTATTTTTCTTGATAGTAAAAGGCATCAACCATTTTTGAAAACACTATGGACTTTTTAGCCTTGTTAGTTTGTTTTTCCAATAAGCCAATGTTGATACAAGCAATCATTTTTTTCTTCAACTTATCCTTCTCATCATCCTCATCCAGTTTCAATTTCCAAAGTTCATCAACTATTTTTTTGTAATTAACTTTATAGGTATTTGATGGAATTTTGTAATAAATGACTTCAACATCATCATAATATTTTTTCAAAAACTTACCGTAAATCAAATTAAAAGTCCTATTAAAAAACAAATTCCTAACTTTGCTTTTAACAAGATATAATGTCAAAGCATTCATCTTGTTAAAATCATTCTTTGAATAATCATACTTTTTCCAAATATCAAATTCAGAAAAGCAAGGCACTTCAAAAATGTCAATGGTAGATTTTGTGTAAGCCTTTCTCCTATCTAATTCAATGTGTGTATTCTTACCTTCAATGATGCTTTCAAAATATCCACTGGGAGCTATGCTATGAGCCATTGAAAATATCTTCAAGTCATCATTGTTATAATATGACTTGTGATTAGGATTGAACATACCCTTGTTGAAATTAAAAAATGCCTCATTGACTTTATTGAACATATCAGCACTATTACTATCAATACAATTATCCACCGCACAGTCTATTAAACTCTGACTTCTTATATTCAAAATCAACTTGTTAAATTTAACCTTGAGTGATGATACATTGCCACCTGCTCCCATTATGATTTTAGGCTCATACTTTGCTCTCTTGAACTCACAAAAAATTGTATTCAAATCCCTGCCACTAACTAAATTCACTTCCTCTTCACTTTCTTCATTAGCTTCAACTATACCCATTATGTCATCAATGCCATTGAAAAAATCATACTTAACTGGTTTCTCCTTGCTATTTAAACGAAAGTCAGTAGAAGCACATAGTTTCATATTTTCCTCTAATTCTTTTTGTGCTATGCTTTTGATGTTGTCATTCATTGTGTAAATGTGGTTTCCCTTAATCATTCCAAACAATACAGTTATGTTTTTGTTTTTCTTATCAGGGTCATAACTGTAAATCTTTTGACCGATACAGTTGTATAATCTGACTGTTAATTTAAATTCTTCAAATACTGGTTTCATATCTTCAACTGATGCCCCATTTTGTCTAAACTCTTCTTCATCTAAATTCATTAGTTTCAATACTTTGTCTCTGGTCATTCTTTTGCTTTCCCACTTTTTAGTATCCATCAGTGTCTCTTCATAATGGTCTATCAGTGTGTTAATCCAGCATTCCCCCTCAGTGTGTTTCTTATTTTTGATGGCATCAACCAAATTATCACTGGCAACATCCATTTCAGTATTGATGCTGTAGTGATACATTCCTATCTCATTGCCATTCTTTAATTTTTTCTTGGTTTCATCATCCCCACCTCCTGTGTTTGATACATCAGTAATGTCTAAAATCTTGATGGCACTTGTGTAGTCTTCAAGGTTTGTATTATTCTTCAGGTCTGGGTGTTTTTCAACTAATCTCTTGAATAACTTGTCAAACAAGGCTGTGTCGTGTATCACTTCAAACTCTTTGTATCTACCTTTGGTGTTTCTCCTTTTGGGCAGTGTAGCATCTATTCCTGTCTCCTTTATCCAAGCCTCTCTGGTCTTCAGTTCATCAAATTGTTTTCTTGTAATTTTGTTGGGGTTGTTCTTCTTCAGTCTTAACCTATCTTTCAGTCTTTCCATCCATAAATCAAACTTGTCTCTGACA